CCGGCCTCGGGCTTGTCCCGACTCTGAGTCTTCGCTCCGCGGAGCTGCTGCGGGTCCGGTTGCCCCCAGCCAGCGTGGGGCAGGTGGTTGGTCTTTGGCCAACGTAGGCTCTTCCTCCTCCCCGCCGTTGAGTGAGGCCTTCTCTTTGGCTTGTCCACGCCGTTTTGAGCTTAAACCTTGCCTTCTAAGAGAATTGCCTCGCTCCCAGCTTTGTGTTTTCTGCAGTTCTAGCAAGTATCCTGAATGTCACTAACCATGTCCCTTAAAGAAAATAGTTAATAGGACGACGCTAGGACTAAAGCTTTGGAGACCCTGACTGGATGACTAATTGTTGATATTTGCTCTTAGTTTTCGAGCACTTTCTTGCTGACGTTAGAGCAGTTTCCTCTCTAACGTATTTTCCTAACTTGCTAACAAGGGTGGCCTTCGAGCCAGTGTCAGCAATCTTACTGAAGGTGGGCGAGATGGTGACGTCTTTCCAGTCTGTGCGCCTCTCCTGATCCAGGGGGAAGTTATTTTGGCTTGACGTAGCATGTTCTTTAAAAGTCTGTGTTGACACCTAGCGGGAAACGAGCAGCCTGTAAGTGGAGATTAACGAACTTCAGTCAGCCTTGTCCCTTAGAAGAGCTCTAAGCTCACATCTGGCAGTGTGCACACGTGGGATTAGCGCGGCACCGTTGCCGTTCTTACGGTGCAGCTTCACAAAAACGTCAGAGATGCGTTTTTTCCTTTTTAAGCTGCCCGAGCTTGCTTAGGTGCGTAAGCCTGAGGCTCAGGCAGCCTCGCGGATGCGCAGAATTGGGAAGTGAAGATTGGCTTAAACCATTCCTAGCCTTACGCTCCTGAAGACATCATAGACTTGCCAGTTTACTTGAAGTCTAAGTGACACACAGGGCTGGCGTCTCCTGTATCTAATTCCGCCCTGGCCATGTGAACGGTCCTGCCCAAGTAATCGCTTGTGTCTGAAAAGCTCTGCCACTGAGTAAACGTTATTAAGACTGGGATGCGTTAAAAGGCAAACAGAATTTTGTGTTTTAAGACGCTCTTTTTGTGACTTAATCGCTAGAGAATTGTGATGTGGAAGGAAAATATGCATATCATTATTAATTTTGAGACATTTATGCGCTGAGCTTATCAGGCTTCTGTTTGGATTTGTTTCTATTAGTTTACTGGACAAAACATTCTTACAACCTGTTTGCCTTTTCTAGTGGGATATTCGACAGTTGCTCTTAATCATGTCATCGATTTTAAAGAAAAGAAACAGGTAACTTTTGTTGGGGTATTTGTTCTTAGTATGTTTTATTTTGTAAAACTACGTGGCTTATTACATGTTCCCAAATAGTTTTCTCTTTAGAACGCTTGTCTAGACGTATATACAAATGCCTCCGTTTGTGACAAAACTCCAATTGTATAATTCAGTATTACTGCATTGCGGTTGATATTTAGTATGGTCCATAAACTGTCCTTGGTAAATAGGTTTTTTTCTATGAAAACAACCTTTGTTTATATTCTAAATGCAATCCATTATATTTTGAATAATTTTCTTTCTTTGATTCCCTTTTAAGGAAATCGTCAAGCCAGTATCTCCTTCAGAGTTGTTTCCATCTTTGCCTGTTGTACAAGTATGTCAATCTACATTCCACCTACATATTCTAAGTTTTATGTTTTTACCTTGGTGTGTTAGTGTATGCAATTTTGTGTATTACATGTTAATCAAAAAAGAGAAAATTTTCCATTGCTTAATTGTTAAAACCCCCAACATTAGAAGCATTAGGCACTCGCTTTAGATGACACTCTAGTTTTTAATTTTATAAATGATTTTAAAAGTTGTTTGATGTGGATTTAAGCTTCTTGTAGTTGAATAATTATAGTGTAGCACTTGAAACAAAAGAGTCTTGAGTTCTGGAAATGGCTTCCTGGTTTTGTTGGAGCAAGATCTTAATATAATAAACCAAGGCTATATTTCAAATCACTGACATGTTAATTCAGGAGTTACTTTTGCTCACACTTGTAGCCAGCCTGGGCAAGCATAGTGGAATTAACAAAACGTGCTCATTTTTTCTGTCTATTTATTTAAGTATTTCTTTCAGTTCACCCTTTCTCAAAGAAATGCTGTAAGTCCTTCTTTCTGAAGGGCGGATGTGATACTGAACAGATCACTGTAAAACAATAAAAATAAAATGTAACTACAGACTTCTAGAAAATTAGTATAGGCAAGCATATGAGCAAGGCACCATTTTCTCTGTAAAGCAAACAGGATGAAATTCACCATAAATTTTTGCTTTGCAGCTCTTAAAGACTTTTGTATTATTTCTTCTTTGTAGGGGACATCTAAACGAATTAAAGTCTTAAACCGGCTAACACTTGTTGTTTCTGATCCTTCCCATTGTAATCTCTTGGTAAGTATATTCAGTGTATTAATTTTCTGAATTCTGTTTCCTCTCCCCTGCAAAACTTCCAAAGTTTCATTCTTTCTTTGGGAAGAAGTTCATGGATTTCATAGGACACTTATCACTGATTTTCTCAGACTGCATCTTTAGAAGGTAATGTGATCATGAAGAGATGCAGACTTGAATCTAGAATGCAAGAATCTAAAATTCCTGATGAGAATGCCATGAGAAAGCCCTGCAATTTTTGATATTACTAAGTCGAAAAGTGGGAGTGCTTAACTAGGTGGATGGGACAAGCTTCAAAATGACCTCAGAGAACTGCTCACATCAGAGACCTACCGTGTAAAATTGTTAGACTCATTGGATGATTATTGGCTTTGCTTTAGTACTAGAAAATGGAAAAGTAATATTTCTTCTCGTTACTTTGGTCGTAATCATTGTGCATATGTTTGGCATCTGCCAGAAGTCAAAGTACTAATTGTTTCTTCCTTTTGTAGAGATCAACATCTACAAATATAAGGTTATATGACATCATAGCAGTATTTCCTAAGACTGAGAAACTGTTCCATGTAAGTACAATCATCTCTGTTTTTTTTTTTATTGGTAGTGCCAGTGCTATAATAATGTTAAGTGCTTTGGGCTAGTCCAAGTACGTGTTATGTTTTTGATTTCACTTCCTGTTTTTTTACAGGCCTGTGTGTCATGGGACTAATTAAACAGCATTGGCTCCTTGGTTAGTTCACAACCTAAAAAAGTTATGAGGGATTGCAGGAGGGCACAAGGCGTTAAGGTGGCTGGTTAAGGTCTGAAACATCTGCCTTGTCATTGGAGTTGTATGCGCTTGCTTTGTGGTGTCCTTTATGTCTTGTACTGAAACTGAGAGCAAGCATCAAACATCAGTTTGTTGAAGTTATCAGCATTTAGAAAAGTTGTCTTGAACTGTTTAACTTTCCAAGCTCTGACAGCTTCCCCAAAACGTGTTTGCTATCTTCTGCTAGCACTACTTGTTTCTCTCCGAAATGCTGGGGAAAATGAGCAACTCTAAAAGCAGAACTGAAGTGGTTCTGAGGTTTGCTCTCTTTGTTTTACAGTCTTAGGTCTTCTTTTGGAAGTTCATCCAAATGATTGCAGGACTGGGATTTCCATTTTTGTTTTGTTTTGACTGTTTTGGACACTCGGGCTGAGTGAGGAAAAACTTGACTTGTATAACTTCATGATATGTGTTCGTTACTTTGCCTGCCAAGAAAAACACTGAAGCTGTACAAAAGTAGAGCGGCCTTAGGGAAATATGTGAAGGGGATATGGTCATTTTCTCACCTGCATTTTATCCTGGCAGTTCAGAGGAAACCTTCAACTGAAAACCATCTCCAAAATGTTTGCAAGTTTTTGAACATTTTGCTATATCAGTCTTAACCAAACAGATGCTGGGGTGTGTAGCAGTGGAAGTGCTCTGAGTGTGCTCGTGAGAGGAAGCTGTGAACATGAATCGTTCTCAAAACCTTAGTTAGGACTTATCTGTGACAGTTAGCCCAAGATCATTGCTTCTCATGTGGGTTTGCCTCAATAGAAATCCAGGTGTTTTGAGCAAAAAAATAACAAATACTCTTATCACTCCTGTGATCTTAGAAAAGCAGAGTCTTTAAGTGCGTTTGACCACAACTAGTATGGTCTAGTTCTGGTGCTTGACTGAAGAAGCCTTACACATTTACTGTTTAGAGCTGATACCTAAGTATAATGATGTGCAGAAATTCTTCAGTGTTTACTGACAGCACCAAGCATCATATTGGCTTCTAACTTTTAGCCATAGCTCCTTTATCGTGAATAGATCTTTCCTGCCAGAAAAAGTTCTTAGTTTTAAAACACTACCCAGGGAAGAATAATCACAACTCAGCTTGGTGGGTGATAGGTGTTCACTATCTCCCTGTATCTCCTATTTTTAATTACACTATTCTTGCATACTCAGGAACAGCTGCTGTGAGTGATTTGATCAAGCTGAGCATCTGAAGCAAGTCAAGCTTTTTGTCAAAATGTTTTTCCCACAAAAAATAAGTGGTGTGTTTGACCTGTTGCAAGCTCATAAATAATCTTATTAACTCTGAATTGGAAGAGTAGGTGGAAGTGTCCCACCTCTGTTAGCCTTGGCAGGCAGCTAGCAGACTTGCAGTTTAAAGCAGTCTGAAGAAGGCATTGGGATACTAAAAGCAAGTATGAATCTCTTTGGAGGAATGCCAGCATTTAACTCTCAAAGAGAGCTTGTCAATATTGAAGTGAGTCTATCTTCTTAAAACAAGTTAAAGCTACTTTCTAATACTGCTAAATACCTATTTTGACGTATTAAAATCATATTCTCCGGTTTGGTTTTTCTAAACTACTTCCTCTCCTTTTTGAAGAATTCATCCAAATAAGAGCTTGTCAAAATAAAGTATAGCCAGGGTCTATACAAAAGTCTTCAGCATAAGAATTCAGGCATTAATTGGAACAATTACAGCATAACAAAACTCATTTCTTACTAATTCTTTTCCCATTGTAAGATTTTTGGGCACTCTTGGGGGTTCGAAAGACTCGAATAGTTGTGAAAGAGGCTTTCTGCAGCTACTCTCAAGATCTTTCTTTTGGGCTCTGCTGCATAAAATTAAGGTTGTGGCTTCACGTGCAGCTGAACTGACTGAATAACTTGAATGAGGGAGACTGACAAAGAAGGGCAGGAAGAAGCCACTCGTTGCCTTCTCACTGAACTCATCTAAGTGAGTTCAATCAGTTCGTTGTGTGTTTAAGGAGCACCTGAAGCCAGTTCAAGGTAAACAGCAGGAGCGTGCTGCCAGGTTTGGGGGAATGGCAGGGGCTGTCACTTAAGGGTGAGTGTCTTTTATTTTCAAGCCGTACCGTGAGTTCTGCTGCTGCAGTTAGATGTTCAGCTGCACCGATGTCTGAGTTAGCATATTCCCTGCCCTCAGCCTCTTGTTCCTGCATGTCCCCATCTGCTCTGCTTGTGTGGCTGTTTGCTCAGCTGCATGGCAGTTTGGTTAGAGGAACTGCTTTTCAGCTGAAAAGTAACCGTAATTTTTGCCAAGTTGTTTTTCAGATAGCTCTGCTCTCCTCCCATCCTAACTGGGCATTCAGTCACACACACAGTTGTTCTAGCACAAATAAGAGGATGGCTGTGCTCTGGGCGGTCTGGCGCAGATAGCGACTGCTTAAGTTGCCGCTCTCGCAGGTGACAGACCTGTCAGGAAGGAAACAGGGTTGTCCATGAGACCATCTTCATATCTTCCATCCTGGCAACACTTTACTTTGGGGAGGAAGCCCAAGCATGTCTCTTGCAAACTGCATGAGGCAAAAGACTTCATTGTTGCATGCTCAGATTTAAAGTGTATTTGTATGTCTGTCCTCTGTTTAAAGCTTCTAGGTTTTCTAAGTCTCCATGGAGAATTGTGTTAAGTTTTTAGAGGTATCAACAGGAAGATTCTGAATCACGTAGATGAGATCACACAGGAGAGTATCGGTATATACTTCTTGCTCTTGCAGTTCGTGGATCTTTTGATATTAAGGATAAAGCCTTTTGGTGTGGGTCTTGTAGCACAAATTAAGTGTGTATTTTAAAATTGTTGGTAACTACATTACCTAAAGAGCATCTTCTTTCTCACAAGAACTTTGCATTTGAATTATTCTCCACAGAACAAGGTTTTTCATATGTTTGTGAGAGAAATGTGTGATCAGTGGAGATGCGCTCTAATTTTAACATGGCCTAAAAAATTCTGTGCCCTCTTGTCGTGAGCCGGGGAAACTTTCCTGTGTCTGAGAGGGGCAGTGCTGTGTAGTGAGAGATGTGCTCAAATTCCCAAATAATTTATATCCTCAGGGATATGATGAAGCTGTGGTTGCCAAGATAATAGCAGAACATGCTGCTGCTTTACATCTTCCAAGAGAACTGTTTTGGTCTCCAGCTGGAATGCCCACTCTGTGCCCGGTATTAAGATCAATGTCTGCTGCTTTAAAAAAAAAAAAAAAACTTTTAAAGATTTCTAACTATTCTAATCATTTTAGGTAGTTATGCCTGCTCTTCATAGACAATTAGCAGATCACCAAAATCTAAAAAAACTTACTTATATAATTGTACATATAGATGTACTGCAAAGCCAAATTTCTATGTTTACTCATAAATAGTTTGCCAAAGCAAAGCCAGCTGTCTTCAGCCTGTCCAAGCACCAGTGAATTTATTCTGGCTGTCTGCAGTTCCCACCAGATGGGGCTCTTGCCCACGGTGAAGCCAAAGACGAGCGCTGCTGTGCGTGACTGCTGCATATTGTTTTCTGCATGACTGCTGCATATTGTTTTCTGCATAAATTTGTTGCCCTTCAGACCCTTTCAGCAGGCTGGGTAACCTGCCTCTGTGTGTGAGACTTGTCCAGGAGCCAAAGGTAGGCTGAGCACGGGAGTGTTTGGAGAAATCTCCTCTCCAACTTTCCTTAGAGCTCAGGAATTCCTCCTTATGGGGAAGTATGACTGTTAATTTTGTTTCTCCTCGGTGGTGTTTTCTGAAATGTTCTTGTCACTGGTATCCTGAAGATACACTGGCATTTAGGTCACTCCCTTCCTTCCCACTGTGGTTAATTTGCAAAATGGAAAAGAGTTTTCCAGCATTTCTTGACCTGATTAGGAAGGCTTTTTTTCTCATGACACAGTGTGACTTATGTGCTCCTGGTTTGTATTCTTGTTTTCCTTCATTTGGGTTTTTTTCTCTTTCTGTATATCCTGTGGCCTCACCAACATCTTTTCTAGGACGTGACTCAGAGCTATCTGCTTTGTGTGTGTTCCTGTGAATCACCTCTGTCCAGATGGTAATTTGTACTATCCATAAGCAAAGAAATTAAACTGGCTACAGTTGAGCCAAACTTGCATCAAGTTAGACTTGCGTTTAGAGTAGATTCAAATTGTGCCCCACCTAGCGGAGTTGGTAAAGGTAAGGCATGAAGATAAAGTTTAGTTTGAATGGCCTAGCAGAGTCAGGTTTAACATCAATATGCTTGTGGTTTGCTGTGTGTGAATTCGCCACGTATGTGCTGTGGGCCTCTTGTCCAGGAGGGAGCGCTATCAACAGCAGAGAAACATTCCCAAAGCTGGGCCTCTGCTCTCATCTTCATCTGAATTTCTTGTGAACTGGTAAAAGACTAGTTTGCAAAGCCATAGCCAGACCTGCAATAGAGCACAGTCCTTGCGGCCCAGGCCTTGGGTTGCCCTGCAACCCCGTCTGCTTTCATGCTGGTGCAAGGAGGGATGAATGGTTGGCAACTGGCCCAGGTGTAGTTGCTGGCAGGTTTCTGAATGCAGATTTCCCCTACAAATAGAAAATTCCTTTTGAACAGCCCACTTTATCTTCTTTGTTACCGTGCTGCTTATAGAAATTAATCTGGTCCTGTGTAATCATCTTTACAGGATAGGCATATATAATTCATACAAGTCTTGTGTGCATGAGATTATATGTAAATCAAGGGCTCCCTTTTGTGTGCCCTTAGTTTTCTCTGTATGTCAGCGTGGAGAGCCCCACCCTTTGTTCACTTCTTCTTTCTTTTAACAGAGGGTGTAAATTGTGGGGTGAATTCAAAGCTAAGCTTTCAAACTATGACCTTAGGTGCACAGCCTGAGACTCTTCCAGAGACCGGGCTTTCAGAAAGGGTTGTGCGTTTTCCCCCTACTGCAGAAAGCAGGGCCCCATGAATCGCCCTGCAGCATGGGGCATGTGGCACTGCTGGAATTAGAGAATGATGGGATAAGGAACGCTTCCCAAACTGTTCCTTCTGTAAATAGGGCTTGTCCTTCATTAGTCACGAGTTATTTTCCCAAGAGCCAGCATTGTTTTTACATGTCCTATATCAGGTAAGAACAGAGCAGTAAGTCATGCCTTTAAGTTAGTGATTATTTTATTGGAAAAGTAGTTTTGTAAATTAGGGCAGGTTTGGGTTTTAAACGCTCCATGCACTCAAACTGTGCACCTGTACCTCTGCTCTTTTATTAGCATACCTGCAAGACATATAGCACCTCTTTGTTTTAAAACTGAACTCACCCTGGAGAGACATGTCCTGCATTAAGAAATTAAGGATATCAGTGCACCTAAAGTTGCTTGCACATTTTTGACATATCTAATAACCTGCTTGTGTTTCTTTGCTGTAGATTGCTTGCACAACTCTAGATGTGGATCTGGTATGCATAAATGTAACAGAAAAGCTGCCATTCTACTTCCGAAGACCCCCTGTGAACGTGGTAAATTTACATCTACATTGTTTTCTTGCTATTAAATTCTGTATTTAGTGTCAGTCTGAGCTGAATTCCCTACAATTTCCCTCCCACCATTCCCATCCAAGTGATTCTTTTATTTTCTTGCATAATGTCTAGCACTGTTTTAAATGTCCTTCACTTCAAGGCCTCCACTGCAGCATTTAACATGCAATGATGTATTTTCTTTCTCTTTCTCCTTCTTGTCCCTCACTTATGAAGGCAGAAGTGGTCTTCCCAGGGAATGGGAACAGAGCCTTCAGGCCAGTGCTATACTAAGCAGTGAGATTTGGTATGATTGCTGACCAAGCTGCCTCCCAAACCAGAAATCATGTAGCTATGTCAGAGTAGATAGCCCGCCTATTTGTAAGATAGAAGAACATGAATGACAGTGTTAATTTGAGAAAGGGATGTTGTGCCAGTTATTTGGAGAGCAACTGTATTGAATCCATACTTAGACAAAATAGTATCTTAGCAAATGAACCCAATGTAGAATTGCTAAATATTTGCTGTGGCGCACAAGTTGATTTTAAAACAGTGCATCAGCTGTAGATCAAGTATTTTAATACAATTCTGGCCTACTGTTGGTGGTTTGTCAGAAAACTTAATTTGAACATGCTCTTAAGTGAAATATTTTTCTTCTGAGTGTGTATCAAGGTCCATTGTACCTGGGGATTCATGGCTGATACAGTCATTGGTGCATAAAAATTGAAATTTGGAGTTGACTAGAAATCCTATTTCCCCTTCTATAGAGAAAATTTAACATAGAATAATAATTTAAAAAAAAAAAACATAGAATTAATCCTGAAACAGAACGAAAGTAATATCTTGGAATTTACAACAGACCAGGAATTTCAGCATTTCGTTTAGGATAAAAATTGTACATGAAGTGTTATTTGAAACTACCCTAGGTGCCTGAAACTCCAGCAGTTGACCCAGGTGAGGAGCTAGGTGGTCAAGAGGCACCTGAATCACTGTATTTAGAGATATTTTCCTCACAAGCTACTCCTCAGCTTCCACGCTCTCAGCTTCAAGTCAGTCTATCTGTCAGACTGGTTTTGTGCTTCCTGGGGTAATCAGTCTAGATTGCTGTGATACCAGACAGACCGATTGGCAGGCAGCCAGAGCACTGGGGATGAAGTTAAAAATCTGCTTGGTTTGAAACTAGTTGAAACTGGTGTACTGCCATTACCTGTTTTGGTTTGATAAATTCAGGCTTTTCTTCTTGATGGAAGATGTCACACCAGCTCTACGTAAAACATTTGGTGTGTATATAACTTCTGTTCCGCATGCATGCAGATTTTCTGCATGAATGGTAGCTGAATTAATTACATCTATATTCAGTTACTGGGCTCTCTTAACAGTATTAACACTACTGTATTTTTGTTTTAATAATATGAATATAAAGCATAGAGCAACATTTCAGGCAAATTTAGTATAGACCATGGAACAGGATCTCCTAGCTTTGAACTGTGTCTCTATCACCAACTCACTGTATATCCTATGGCAAGTTACCTAACTTTCTTCTGTGTGTTAGCAAAAACAACAATATTAGGCTTTTGGTGAGGTATTTTGACAGGTAGCAAAGGATTTTAAAGCAACTGGAAGTGTATTAATTCTTACTGTTTGGTAACTCTGAGGACCTACTGTTCTTCGAAAGTTGTCACAAATAGCACAGTGTCCTGTGGGACAGGAGAGAAGGGACCTCATTGTTGCTTTTCTGCAAGGGCAAATTCTTCATTTGCGAGACGTGGATGTGGTGGGAAATGGTGATCCTTATGGGAAGCTGTGAGGCTAGAGGAGGAGCATCCTGAAAATGTCCAGATTTGTTTTTGGCCAAAGTGATTATCCTTCTCCTCATCACTGTGATTATGGAAAGCCAATTACAACTAATAGGTAAATAGGTAGATGGCATTTCTTCATTTATCCAACAGCCAAAGATTCAAGTGCACATACCCGGTGTACAGTGAAATATCCTTTTTTACCTTTCCTGCTGTGCAGTGTTTCTGTTAGAACAATTTTGCCTTCATTTTTTCATATACAGTATAGTTACAATGAGAATAAGCTGCATCAATAATAGACAGCAGTTGTTAGATTGTTATGCTTCTTTCCTTTTGATTTTTGATCACCTTCTTTCATGCGAAGGCGATAGATCGAGGCATTTACTTTGAACTTCTTTACACGCCTGCCATCAAAGACTCCACAATGAGAAGATACACAATTTCAAATGCGATCAGCCTGATGCAGATCTGCAAAGGAAAGGTAAGCTCTCAAAGTGAAAGCAAGCTAATTAATTCAGTTCAGATTCTTCTGGAGTTGTACAGGCTGAGCCATTTTAAATGAGTTTGATGCTGGGGTTTCTGAACCTGTGACTGAACCTTTGCCGACTAATACAAGCAAGCAATTATTCTGGCTGCAGATATTTCCAGCCATGCACCACTGCACGCTTTCTTGTTAAGTAGTCAAGTTGCTGGGTTCTTTTTTCAGAACAGCCTATCCATTATCATGGTATGTAGTACTGGAAACAAAAGGAAAAAAATAAGTCCCAGAGATCTAAGGTTTGCACTAGAACTGAAATTTATGCATCTATTTAAAAGTTCACATTTCAAATTTCTGATTGGCCAAAAGCTTTTTTTTTTTTTTTTTTTGACAGAGAGGGAGAGTATACCTTGAATAAGGGAAAAAAATTAGCAAGAGAAAGATAGAAGTCTTTTTTTGTTAAATTGTTAGTAAATTCCCAGTGTACAAAACAGACCCCACAGCTAGCTGGCTGTAAGCCAGAGCTTTGCTGCAGTCAGATCAGCTGCATTCTTCCCTGCTACTGAAACCAAGGGAAGAAGTAATGCTTGCAGCTGGGATGTCTGTACTCCATTGCTTTCATACCTTACCTCCTCTCGCGCTAGGCTGCCTGTCATGTGGGTCCTCTTGGGCTATGTGTTTTTAACAGGGAAGCATATCAGAACACATAACTGAGTTAAAAGGGATTGTAGCTCCACCACCATTTTTTTAAAAGGCCTTAACTCTGCTTAGCTAGTCCAGAGAAGCCAAAACTGCACTGCTCAGCAGGTCTAGTCTGAAGGGGGATATAGAGTTTGGGAGGTGCAAATAAAGGGAGACACGTTGTTATCACAGTTACCCTCAGACACTATGGCCTATTTTATAGGAGAGAGAGGAGGGGTTCAAATAGATAAATTCCCTTGGCGCGACAGGGTAAAATGAGTAGTACTTGCGTGGCCTTTGCTGAGAAGCCCAGCTCTGGTAGTTAATCATGCAAAATAGTGACTCGGAGACGAGGCACGTACACACAAAAACCTTTCCTTTGGGATTCCTTTATGCCAGTACTCCTGTTTCCTCTGTGCAGTTACAGATGTGTTCCTCGTGCAGTTGTTGATATGGGTAGCAAAAGTTGTGGTAACCTCACAAACAGAGGAGCAAGTGACGTTTAACCTGTGCACAGAGTGCCCTTCTTTTCTGTGTGTGTCAACCTAGTACATCATTTATGCCTGGAGGGTAAATTGGCTGGAGCTGAGCACAACAATTTGTTGTTAGGCAGTGGAAATGTTGGGAATGGACTGCTAGTTTGCCTTTTTTTTTTTTTTCTTTTTGCCTCCAGTTTCAGTTACCTGGTGGGCCAGCAGAGATGATTATTAGCCCTTACTGACAGTTTCTCTCGCTCTGTCAGTTAAGTAAAAGCCCTTTCTATGGAGATGTGGTGTGGCTAGTCCATAGGTGGCTGGCATTAGCGCCTGGCTTGCAGCTCTAGCCTTCTGCTACCTAAAGTTGCTGAGTTCTTGGTGGCTTTTGGATTCTTTTGTTCTCTTCTGTTGTAGTAGGGCAGAGAAAATTCCAGAAACTTACCGAGGTCCTCGGGGCTGGCCTCAAACTCGCTCCCTAAAACAAGCTAAAATGTGTGTGGAATGAGGGAGGGACTCGCCAGACAGAGACATGGGTATCCACGGTCCTCCCACCTCTCATGTTTTGGTAACTGAGCATGGATACCGTGCCCAGAGCAGTGTACTGAACAGCTGCTTCCCGCTTTACCTGAGGAGATAGTATTTTGCCTTTGAGTTCTTCCCTTTAACCTTTCCCAGTGGATTTGCCTTTGCCTGTTCCTCCTTCATTCTCCAGCAGTACTTCTCCTGCCTGCTCTTGTCTCCTTCTCCCTTCTTTCTCGTCCCCTAATTGGAAGCCAGTTGCTTTTGAATCTGCCAGAGCCCGTCTCCGACGCACAGCAGCGATCCTGTGCGGGCTCAGCACAGCTCGCAGAGCCGCTCTGGGAGCGTTGCTGAGCCTGGAAGATGGGCGTTGGTTGCTGCAGCTCAGCACAGGAGACTTAGATTTTCCCAATGAGCGCTTGCAGTCAGCACTGCTGAAGCTCAAAATCACCCTTGGGATCCACAGTGCAGTTGTTTTAAAGGTGAACTGTGTGGAAAGAAGTGTTCTAAGCTTCATCATGATGTGTGCTGCTAAGTCACTTTAATGTATGTATTACTTCTGCTTATGCTTTTCCTTATGCTGAGGCAGAGTTGTCTTGTCCTGCGCTTTCCTCCTCAGGACGTGAGGAAACCTTGGGCATAGTGTGAACAGTGCATTTCCATGCAAATAGCTCTTGCAGTTTGAGTTCCAGCTGTGCACATAGCATTTTCTTCCAATGTCTGCCTTGGTCTTTGTGCTGGGGAGGTGCAAGGACAAGCAAAGCAGTGCAGGGCAAGAATCAAAGGCCCCACCTTGTAACCGGAGGAGGTGTGGTGTGTTGGTGGTGCTGATGTCAGAGGGAAAATCTTTTGCTGCCTCGCTACCACTTCTCATTCCCACCCGCTCAAGCAGGAATTCCCAAAGCCTTTTATTCAGTGTAATAAAAGGTGCAAGTAAATCTTGCTTTTGCTGCAGATTGAAGTTTCTACCTGTGCAAAACAGTTTCCCCCGGGTGAGCATCCTTGGAGGATTACCATTGCTGGCAGCTGAGCTGCCATATCTGTGAGCCCCTGAGCAGTCACATACCTCTTCTGTAGAAACCCGTTGGGAGAGAAGAAGGGAGAAGGGCTTTTCTTCGCCCAGTGATTTTCATGGGGGTGGCAGTGTTGAGGGGAGCATGTGTATGGTGTGAATTGGCTTAACTGCAGTCGCTTTTAACCAGTGTGAGTATGATGAGAGCCTACATGGATGCTGAAGCCGGGATTGTACTGCAACACAAAGAGTAGGCTGAAAATTTGGGAGCGCGAAGCTCTCTGAAGGCACAATCTGTAAGCCTCTCCTGGGATATGCTGGACTCCTAAATCCATGTCTGTTACAGCTCACCTTGAGTTGTCATTTGTGTGTGGCCATGCGTGCCTTCCTCGGGGTGATGCTCAGCAGATGTCCTGTGGCCTATGGCCCTTGAGGAGCAGTAAGGGCACAAGGCTCCTTGTCTCTTTAGATAGTGTAGATAAAATGGGGCACTTCTTAACACAATGCGTGTAACTGCATTTCTTCTTTACCCTTTATGTAAAGTCCTTTTAAAGTCCACTATAAAAGATACAGGTTCATGAGTGCTTACTTAATACCAGCACTTTGGGATTTATGCTTCTTAGCCTGTCCACCTGGCAGGTGCATTGCTTATTCAGCTCACATCTGTCAGTGAGAGATCTGTAACTGCAGGGGGACACTTGTCCCTGTGGCCCTCTTTCTGCAGGGAAAGGGGAGGTTGCTTGGGTTTATTCATTCCCACAAACTAAGGTCCACGCTCTGCTACAGTTCACCTAAGCTGGGGGCAGCAGCTCTTTTCTAGCAGTTAATTGGGCTGTGAGCCTGAACTTCAGGTAATGCTCATAAAGTCCTTGCTGCCTGAACTTTTCCACTTATTGATGCCATTTGACAGATGAACATTTATGCTCTTTTGTTTTCCAGAACATTGTTATGTCTAGTGCGGCTGAAAGGGTAAGTCCTAGATTTTTGTTAATAGCAAAAAAATTTGAGGATTTAGTTTTAGCTGAGGACAAAATATTTATATGTTTAATATATAAATTTTAAATATAATTGCCATCTTATTTCTTATATTTTTAGTCAGTCCGTGTTACCAAAGAATCGTGTTGCCTTTTTTTGTTGTCATTGTATTTTCTGTGGCAGTTTTCTCCCAGGTGGGGATTCTATTTTCCCAGTCTTTTCTTGATCTCCCAGTGCATCTTCAGCAGCTTGCTGTTACATAATGTTTAATCTTGCGTTTCTGGCTTTTTGGTTCTCCAAATAGTCATGTCCTGCATGCTTACGCTCTCCCAGTCTTTGGGAGAGTGCATGTGTGCATCCAGCCTTTTTTGTTCTGTTTTAGCCTTTAGAACTACGAGGTCCTTACGACGTAGCTAATCTGTATCCTTTTTTCAAGTCGAAGACAGCAATTAATCTGAACTTTCACATGTTGTTATTGGTTTTGAAATACTTCCATCCTTTATGCTCCTTGAACTTTACACAGTAATGCTTGTTGCTGACCCCTTCCTTGAAGCAGGGCTCGGAGTGGGCATGGAAGGAGCAACAGATCTTGGTCATGGAGTAGCATAAGCAGTCACTATAAATAGTAATGTTTGAGTACAGGTACAGATCTTGACATTTTTGTGGGTGTAAATGCAGTAATGAGTAACACACATAATCATAGATCTTTAAATAAAGAGCAACAAAATTTTATGGACCAAAGGAGAAATTTGGATAGGGTAAGTTCCTATCTTAGTGCTGGTTACGTCTGTTCTTAATTTTTTTTCAGTCCTCCATTATGTATGTGCTGTTCAGTCCGGGCCTGCCTTCTAGAAACCAAGGAAAGGGCCCTTTCTTCCCTTATTTGAGGAGTTTAGATGCACTGTTACTCCTCTTTCCCCCACCCCGAACGTGGGTCTGGAATGTCCCCTGAAGGGGAGGAGCGTGCTCTGAATCGTGAGAACTGCGTGGGAGGGTGCGTGGGCTGGAAGAACTTTACGCACAAAGTTTCCTTCCCTGTTAAAAGAGAGCAGTCAGGCTCAACCCAAATTAGCATACCTGGTTTTGATGTCATCCATATAAAGGTGGCTGGGAATTTTTCAACAGAATGTTTTTGTGTCAAAACATGCCCTTTCCCACAAAACTGAAACTTTCAGTGGGATAGTTCTTTACTTGATTGTACACATAAGAAATGTTCTTATGTTGATGGACTTGTGTTTTCAAAATGACAGCTGCCTATCTGGAAAAAAGCAGCATTGACAAGAGGCTTCCAGGGGAGCTGCTGGGAAATTTCAGCCAGGAGAATGGGGTGCCTCAGTTCTCTGCCTCTGGGTAACCTTATGCAAAGTGTCACTTGGATCTGCAGCTTTGCTAATTCACAGTTGTCTTGAATAAGCAAACTTATCCTACAGACAGACTTCCTTAGTCTGTTTGCTCCTTTCTGTACGTTTTGATCCTGAACGAAGGTGGCAGAGGTTTGCTGTTTGGCATGTCAGAAAGCGATGCCAAGGCAGCTGTGTCTACCAACTGCAGAGCCACCCTGCTTCATGGAGGTAAGTGAAAAGCATATATGAAACCCTTTCTCTAAGTGACACTTGCATTTTTTAAAGTAAGTTCATACTGATGCGTATTTTTAAAAGGTCTGAGACCTTATAGAGCCAGCTTGGGATTTTATTTTTGTCCAAGTCATGAAGAGGAGCTTGTATAGCAAGGTTTTTTCTTTTCCCTTGTTGCCATGTTAGCAAATCAGTGAATTAATGATGCTGTCTGTACTGGAGTACTCTCTAACCATATTAAACAGACTTATTAGCCATTTAGCCAAAACACAGGTCTGCCTGTTATGCTGCATACTGAAAATATCACTTGTTTCAGAAAGGGTTGAATACTGATCTCAATGAGATCAGCAGAAACTACATCACTGACTTCAAGAAAATCGAGATTCAGCCTTAATGAAGCACATGTTTTGCATTTGTTCTTTTGTAGTATGACTGTAGAAATGCTTTGTCCGTTTCTGATGCTTCATTATGTAGTCTTTATTTCTGACTCACTATTCAGTGTGGACCGTTTCAGGCTCGATGCAAAATTGGATACCCTGATTGCTTGCTGCTTAGGAAGAAATGTTTCATGTGGTGTGTGATGGCTTGAAGTGTTTTTGTGAAACAAAACCTGCTTCCTTATGTGCTCATTGGAGGAAGTTCACAGTAGTTCTATTCTTTCCTACCTGCCCCTTTTCATATTAAGAAAGTGGAAATTTAGTTTTTGGCCTCCTGAAGTGGAAATCAACAGGTTTTCAGTTGTATTGTGTGCCCTGCTGTCAGTGCTGTTTAGAGATGGCAAAGTCTGTGCTCCGGCAAGCAATTTAAACTCTTGCTTTGCACTTTGGCACTAATTTCTCCTTCTCTACCCTCCCCTTCACATGCATATTTGTTGGTTCTTAGTTTCCTAATTTCTATTGTTTATGCTGATGGCAGTTTACCTTTGTGACTGGATAGTCACATCTAACTCTTAATTTCTGCCTTTGCCAGGATTTGTCAGGTAGGTATGTTTCCTAGTCACTTTGTCAGCCACTGGAGTTGCTCCAGATAGCAAACACACGATTGGATTTAGTTCCCGTCTCTTTTTTCAGTAGAGGCGGGACTTGAATCTGCTGTAATTAACAAAATCCTTCAGCCTGGTACTCAACTACATAGTGACAATGTGTTGGAAGAATTTTTGCCAAGTTTATATGGAATTTCACACAACTTCCATCTTTCTTATCCATGAAGCAAAAAAGCACATACTTCATTTGCTTGCCCCCCAAAGAATACTAGCCCAGAATAAAGAGATACTTCTTTACAAGGTTCCTGCAGAGCGTTTTTGTTAATAGAGCATTCTATTAGCAGTCTCGTCATCTCTTCTACCTTGGATTTTGCAGAGAAGCCCCCCAGCAGTAGTTTTGAAATTGGATTGGGCTCACTAGGTTGCTTGGCAAGCGTATGAGAAGTTTGATAACATCATACAGTTGTATTTTATGGTAATGCTGAGGGTCCCGTAAATAAAATTATGGTATTCAAGAATTCAAGTCACCTACTTAGTATGTATAAGGGAGCCTCTTCCAGTATAGCTGTGCCAGCATGGTCTGTTTAAGAATCCTAGGGTATGTGAATACATTTTGTTTTTGTAAGGACAGTATGTTTTGCTCAGAAATGCTGAATTTTTTTGACATGCATTCAAGAATGTGTCTTTCTGTGACTGTGGAACTGTTGAAGTCTGGTTTCCTGTGGTTTTGTGTCTGCACCCTCTCAGGTCCTGTGGACTCCAACTTTCTCTCTTGTTTACTGTAATTCAGCACCCACTCAGATAACACCCTTTAGTGATATATTGGATTACTGAATGAGGAAATTAGATCCTGTTTACCTGCTCTGTCTGCCAGCTGGCTGGCTGGTGAACATGTTAACCCATGCCCAAAAGCACAGTTTGCGTGAAGCATCCATGTATATTGTAGAATAAGGCAAGAAGCAATTGGCTTAAAGTGCAGCAAGCAACATAGGGTTAGACACTTCTTATGGTGAGTATCCTGAAGCACAGCAATGCATTGCTGGAGAGGATGGTAGAGTCTTCAGCACTGGAGACTCTACTCTTTTTAAGACCAGGTTAGACAAATAAACAGGGCTTGACATTGGTGCGGGAAATCACATTTGAAGGATGTGTTGGGTTAGTTTCCCCCAAAAGGGCACTTGGTTACAGAAGAAGATGGTTCCTGTTGCTGCTTGTATTAGGGGTGGGGTTGGTAGCTACCTGCTACTTGGAGAATTCGGTCACAAGCGGAGAGATGGTTCACATGCTAGGAAAAGCGCTGCTGGAGTATCCTCGGCCGGCTTCCTTCTCAGCCACAGGAGAGGCAGGTGGATGCTAGAATTCGTGTCAGCATAGCTGGAAGGTCCCTGCGTGGGGATGGCTTAATGACTGCAAAACTGGCATGAGCCTCTGTCCTACATCTGGCTTACCAGATGTGTTGGGGGATGAATGAAAGTGAAGAGTGCGGTCTCGGCTGGCACTGTCCTCAGGCTCAGCATCTAGGCCATTTTGGAACAAGAATCTCATCAGCCTGGGCTGTTTCCCCTCCCTTTCAGCATAGATTTAGAGCATTTCTCACTTTCCACTCCCCTGCATGGATACCAACCATTCTTTTTCTCCTCACTGATCCCTGCTGCAGTTGCTCCTACATACCTATGCGTGCAGCAGTGAGAGGGCAGGGATGGGGAAAGCGTTCTGAGGGGTAATATTGGAGGTTTTTTTGTTTGTTAAACTCTTAACTTCTTGAAGAGTCAAAGTACCCCCCCAGGGAATTAAATGAGTATGTGTGAAGTGTGAACTAATACTCTAGTCAAGAGATCAGAGAGTGCAAGGGTTATGTTAATTTTTGTTGTCAGTATTTGTTAAAATGTTTGCATTGCTCGAAATGAAATTATATGCAGATAAAACAGTGGGCAGCGTTTTGGTGAGCAGAGCTCTTAAATACCTCAGTGCATGTCCTATGACTCAATCACCAAAAGGACACAGTGACCAGGACTTTTCTAATGCCTTACATGATTCTTCAGTAAAGAACTGAGAAATGCTCGTCTTGTTGACCTCTTGGTATTCTCTTCCACCCTGTTTTCCATGAGTTCTGTGCTCTGCCTGTGTGGATGATAACACTTCAGCTCCTGCAGGTTGTTCCTATGCTCTTAGCATTAGACTTCCTTTTAGACCTAGCCTAGGAACCTGTCAGTTAGTGATCATTGCTGCTCACCTTTTTAGTTGGAAAGGACACAGTGAACTACTTTTCTGCTTTGTCCATCGCATTTTCAGTGAGGACTGTAATAAACATGAGCAACTTTCTTGGAGACTGCTCTTTGATTCACAGGAATCAAACATGTCAAAGTGAGTTCCCAGTCTTCACTATATGCCAAAAGTCTGCTAGTTGAATATAATGTTATGTTACAGATTGAAGTGAAAGTCATTTCTGAGCAGCAATTAGTCTTAAGGTTATTTACACTTTGTGCTGTAACAACATATTATTGGTTAGTGTGCTGCAGCGCTTGCTGTGTTTCTGTCTGCAAGACTAAAGTAGTAATCAGAGACCAATCTGTCCTATTTTAGGCTTTAATCAATAGTCCAATGTAAAGCATTAGTGGATTCAGAAGCTCTACTGGCATATGCTAGATATGAAAGATCCTAGTAGTTTTTTAGTCTTCAGGATGATGATAATTTGTCTTTTAACTTGTAGTTCCTGAAATAATTGATATTCCCCACTCCCAATATGATAAAAGATGACTTTGTTGGAGTACCTGCTGACAGTGGCTGCTGTGAGCCCCTTAGCTGAAGCGTGAGAATGGAAACGTTAAAAAGCAGGAGGTTTAGCAACTTCAACCAAAAATATTCACAGAATCACAGAATGGTTTAGGTTGGAAGGGACCTCTGGAGATCATCTAGTCCAACCTCCCTGCTCAAGCAGGGTCACCTAGAGCATATTGCCCAGGATCACATCCAGACGGGTTTTGAATATCTCCAGCGAAGGAGACTCCACTACCTCTCTGGGCAACCTGTTCCAATGCTCTGTCACCCTCACAGTAAAGAGGGTTCATTATTAAACAATCTAAAAATCAGATTTAGCATGTGTAATTCAAATCAACTGTGTTGCACCAGTGTTCTCTGTGAAATAGAGAAGTACTGGTAAGGCTCTCTTACAAGCTGGGTGATTATACATTGAATGCATTAGCGTCACCTTATTTGAGGTACTAGAGCTTCTGCTTGTATATTCCAGAAACACGGAAGAGTGCCTGTGGGGTAGTATACACAGTGAAGAAGCCTCGCAAAGTTGAGGAGGAAGAAATGACACTGCCAGCCTGCAAAAAGGCCAAGACTCAAGGTTGAGAACTGAACCAATTGTCAACAGGAACCTCTACCCCATCTTTTACCTAGTGCTGTGTCTTCCTCCCACCTCCAGCTGGCTCAGTTCCTCACTTCCTATTTCATTTAGTCTGGAGATCAATTATTCTTCTGGTGTTCAAGTGAGAGAGCTGTGGGAATAGGACTGCTGAATAGTTCACCACATCTGAAAGATCATCCTCTGCTGGGCTTCTGGCCAAGGCTGGGATAGCACCTCTCCGCCCTGTCACAGCTCTTCTGGAATTGGGGCAAACTCCACACAACGCTTCTAACATGTGGGAATTTTCAGTTGTATGTTTTTTTTTTATTATTAAAAATATTTTCAAGAACACATCCATTTAAAGTCTAGCTCTTGTGGCTTCTCAGGTTTTAAAATGCATCTCTGTACTAAACCTTACAACTGCAAGTGAGTAGATAAAAGTTCCTTTCAGTGGCCTATGAGGAATAACTGTGCAGTAAAAAAAAAGTGCTTCCCCTTCTGTTTTGGAGTCAGGGACTGTAAAGAAGATCACAGCATCTGTCACTTCTTAGGAGATGCCTTGGATTTGTATTACAGCAGCACCGACTGACCTGACCCGCTAGACCTACTGCATGTGCACATCCAAAGGCTGTCCTTGTCCTGAAGGACTTAAAACCAAGCAGTAACATGAGACAGTTAGCACAGATGGAAAGGAAGAGCCCAAGGTTACACCGAATGTGTGCTCAGTGTGATAAGTTGCAGCATAACAGCTGTCTCACCTGGACCTGAGCAGTCGCCCTGTCACAATTTTTACTGCATCATTTCCTTTGTGTGTCCTGGTCTGGCAGTGTTGCCTACAGGAGTGTTTGCTTTGTTGTGTCCAGCCTCTCCTTTTTCCTTCCTGTTACTGCCTCGGTAAACCTACTCTGGCTGCCAAAAAAGCAATCGTAACAGATTTATAAACAGCAGAGTGCTTTTAGAGCTCTTCCAAATGTTGACTGAAGCTTTTTTTTTTTTTTTGATAAACCAATATAAAAATTATGTAAGATACTGTGGTAAGCCCTTGAGCCAGCTTTGCTTTGAATATTCCAGTCCTTCATTTGTATCTGACAACAAACCGAGATGTGCAAATTACAGTATGTAAAATACTCAGTATGTGAAATACTGCAGAAAGCTTCTTGTAGGATCTCTCTGAACTTTTTTGTTGACTGGATAAAGCAAAATGAATGGAGTTTTCAGTAGACTAACAGTTCTATAAAATTCTGGGTGTATGTCACAACAGCTTTTGCTTTGACAAAAAAAAAAAAAAAAGGAATACTTGCCCTTTATGTTTTACTTGTTGACTTTGTGGTTTGAGTCCTGTTTTACCACCAGGAATGGGGATGGAGTGTAATATGTATACAGTAACTTGTCATTTATGGGCTTGTCTGCTCAATGAGGCTCTAGCCAAATAGAGCAGAAGGTGAAATGTCTGTTTGATGCAGTTATCTGAATAATATGTTATCTTGCCTTGGCCAGAGAATAACCTACCTCGAGCATAAGAGAAATTGTTTGGTAACTAATATATGGAGAGGGGCTTTTGAAATCTGGAGATCCTACTTACTACTTGTTTGACCTTGATTTTAAAATTTACAGTCTGCATCTTTGCCCTTTAAGTAGATAAACTGCTTCAGGAACTGAGTGAAATGTTTCTTTTCTCCCAGTTTTTTGCATTGTTCTGGCCGCTCTGGTACCTGAACAATTGAACTGCTTCTCAGTTATGAGGACAAACAAAATGAGTTAGCCAGGACTTATGTCATTTCTGGTTTTTTGCAAGGTATTCTTGGAAAATTACCTTAGTGTCCAGGTAATTGTGCAGAAACAAGTAGTGAAGTGGCAGCAAGCAGAGATGTGTCATAATTTCCACAGCAAAGAGTGTTTTTACAGATAAAGCCTATCATTGGCAAGGTGACACTCGCAAGGTGATGGTGCTTGTGTGAGAAAAGTCTCATCTGTCTAAAGCTGTTCCTTCAGTCCAGGGTAGCTGCCTGCAGGTAGGACTGCCTCCGTATGTGTTTAGCAGGCATTTCTTGCACTTGCTTCTTTGCTGAGTTTCTGTATGTTCACTTCACCTCCAAGATTTGCACTCCAGTGACAAATACTCATTGCTGCCCACCCCTGACTCCCCTCATTGCGCAATGCAGTGCTTGGGCTGTGAGGTTTGCTGGATGGAAGCGTGCTGGCACAGGTCAGTGAAGGCACGTGGGAGCCTGTGGCATATTTCTTTGGGAAGCTATAGCATGAGGCATTAGGATTATTACTGAATGCAGCATGTAATGTCCCAGTGAAACTGGAGATTGATGCCTCTGTTGGTGATGCTGTTGGGGTAGTTCTGCTTTGGCTAAAGCAAAGGGTGAGGTGCCTTCCTTTGCTCACAGGACGCTGCTTCTCCCTTGGCTGGGACAGTTGAAGCTCTTGTTATTTGCTACACACTGTAAGTACTGATTTGCTAAGAAACCAAGGTTTTAAATCAAACTCAGTAATAAAACTGTTAACTTTCAATTTTACTAGCTACTCAAGTGCTGACTTTCTGCTTTTGTACATGTGTTTCTATTTAATAAAAAAGTAAGAAGAGGCATTTATCTAACAGTATCAGGGAGGTAGCCCAAGGGCTGGTTGCTCTAGGCAGTTGAGAAGGTTTTATACATCTTACAGGGGCCAAGATGTGAACCTTAAAGAGAGACAGAGCTTCTCTGTACATGTTCACCACTCCATAATACACTCCAACAAATACAAAGAACTACTCTGTTTATTTTATCTGAAATAGATCAGTACAAAATGTACAGAAAAAGCAGTACAAATTTACAAATACGTGTCATCTGCTTCTGCATTCTTTGATCATCAGGCTTCATGATAGTCCACCTTTAAGAGATTCACATCCTGATACTGTCTCCTCTCACCTTCATAACATTGCATTTGAATCTCAGTCCAAACTTAACGTAAGGACCTCTGGTCCTTGACCTTTTTATCAACCAAGATTGGCAAACCATGTGCAAACCCCAATACTCGACTGCGCTTTTAAATCCACTTGACATCTCAGTAGACTTTCTTCCATTGCTAGCTGATCTCACTCCGTGTTGCCACTCGTTTAACACATTATTCTAATGGTGAGAATTCAGCAAAAACAAGGCAACAGTTACAGGTATTAGCTATTTAGAGCTATTGGAAGGCTTGAGGGAAGCTGCTAATGTAGTTGGAAATACTGTCATCTAAGACAAAAGGATTTGTTTTGCTGACAAAGATTATATTAGTAATTACAACTGTAAAAAAGCAACAATAACAGGATCATTAAAAATGACTAACTTTTAAAATAAATAAATAATAAATAGGAATAAATAAAGCCATTTTAAATCCAGTGGAATTTTAACACTCAACCTGCCTTTTTAAATGATCTCTGTGCATCCTTGTTTTGCTGTTTTTCAGTGAAGGCATCTCAAATAGTCCAGTACCGTAAATATTTTCAGTAAAAATACTATGTTCAGGGCCGTTTTCTCCCAGGTTGGTAAGAAGCATTTAAAAGCAGCAAAAGCAGTCTTCTCTCTTCAGAACTTGTTTGGGTGGCTGCTTTTGTAGGAGTTGTCTTTCAGGTTGTTGAATATCTCCTTGGTGCCGTTCTGCCACTGAAGCACAAGATCCATAGGGGTTTTCTCTTCCTGGATGAAAGAGCAGAGGAAGCAGGACTTAATTTCAGCTAGTGAACACAGAGTCCTTTATTCTTTCCTAAATATTTGTACAGTGCATCTGTTTGATCTGAGACCATTGTGCATGCTCACAGTCAGACTTGCTCCCGTCAGTCTCTGAGTTCAGGGTCCTGCTCTACAGATCTCATCCTTGTCCTGTTCAGACTGATGTTGAATTTTCCCTGTCTTTCAACGTGTTTAAGCCAGGTTATTAGCAAATACTGTGACTAGCAGAGCCTGTGTGTGTTTCTTTTGATCCGGTCTAAACTAGTTAGAAATACATTTAGATGAAACCTCAATAAACCACTTGTCTATTGAATTGAGAATTCAGATAAGACTTTGTACTGGTCTAATTATATAGGTTATGAATCACATCTAAATTAAACAGGAGTAACTTGTGTGTGCAGATGAAGCCTGAGAGAGCAGGTCCTTGGTCTTCTGGGCTGTATCTTTCATTGTTTCATATACATGTCCTGAATACCCCTAAAGCTAATGCCAGGAGCAACCTTGCTGTAGGGGGTCTGGGCAGTGAGTAAGGAGAGTGCAAAGTGCTGCAGTGACTGATTTCTTCCTTGCCCGCTTCAGTTTTTATTCTCAGAAAACACTGATTGGAATTAGTAAAAGCCAGCATCTGTCCCACAGGTGCTTTGATTGGATTTGGGGGGGACAGGGCCTGTGACATGCTGTATTTTTACAAGTGGTCACAGAGCTCAGGCAGTGCAGCTGCTGTGGTTGAAATGACTGTGAGCAAAATCTCAGGTGCTGGGCTTCTTAAAGTGCTGCTGATCCAGGGTGATTTATTGCCCAGCGGCCAGACTAATGGTTAACCAGGCACCCAGAGCTAGAGTTTGGGTTTGCTGTCGGCTGCAGGCTCGCTGGCAGAGCAGAAGGGAGTTTTCTGTGGCAAGTGAAGATCTTTGTGTCTCAGTGGTGGTTGAAGCCCAGGAGTTAACCAAGGAGCAAGCATCTCAGTTTACCTCTTTTTAATATCGTATATGTGCAATGAAATTAGTAAGATGTGATGTTGTTTTAAATTACAGCTGATGAGTTCTGGTTTTAGAACAGGTACCATTTTCCTTCTTCCTGCTGCCCTCCCCCAAGTTATGCTTTCCCCATACGTCATCTCCGCTGTAATTTAGTTTGAAGCGGTCTTAGGGAGCCGCTTGGCAGTAGTCTCTTCTGGCCTTGAAAGCTATGACGCTGCTCTGGCGGGAGGAAACCCGTTCCAAAGCATTTTGAATTCCAGAATATTTTGCTATTACTTACGCAGTTCTTTATGGTTAGATCTGCTCCGTAAAGAATCAGAAGTCTAATCATCTTGTAGCGGTTCAGCCTCACGGCATCGTGCATTGGTGTGTCTCCTTCCTAGAGGCATGAGACATAGAGCACCGTCAGTCTGGCCCTCCACCACCGCGCTCCGCACCGAGCAGCCCAGCCGCTAATTCGTACAAGCAAGCTGAACTATGAAGACACACGTCAGCTTGATGCTACCTTGTAACTGCCAGGTAAGAAGTTGTTAGTACTTACTCTGTCTTTGGCATTGAGATCTGCTTCGCAGGCGATGAGGTGCTCCCCACAGTCGTACTGACCCGTTCTCACAGCCACGTGCAAAGGGGTGCTGAGCAGCTGAGAAGCAGGAGGTGAGAGAGAGCAGTCAGTGGGGCAGAACGCATAAAGAGAAAATCAGAAAGGCAGACCGCTTCAGGAACGGCCACCAAAAATCAGCAATTTCGAGTAAGGGTCAGCTTTTCATCTGCAATCGACAAAGCTGCTGAGTCTCAAAAGGACCTACCTTATCTCTGGCATTTCTGTTTATTCCTTTGTCCAGTAAGAATTTCAGGACATCCAGGTTCCCCCCTCGGCATGCCCAGTGCAAGGCTGTAGATTCAAGCTACACCAAGAAAAATACACGAAAGGTAATTTAATTCACCCTTATGAAAAAGAACAAATTAAACAATTCTGATCAAGTTTATAAATAAATTGCGTGAAAACGATTTTGCATTCAACCTCAAGCATTTTACTGTGATCATTGAGTTGTTTCTCGTAACAGCTTTTCTTATTTTGCCCTAATTCCTTTAGTACTGCCAGTTTCTCACTCTTTACAATCACTGCATATTGCTCTTAAAGACACAGAGTCTTGGCTGTGAGAAGGGATATGTTTTGTCAGCCATTCTGTGAACCTAGAAGTTATCTTTGGAGAGCCAGGTATGATTTTTATGGCTGATGTGTGCTATTTCATATTTTTTATTTTTATTTGATGCCTTTTGGATTCCAAAGCACACAGAACATGACGATCAAGGGAAAGAATAGTTCTCTCTTTCAAACTCTCGGAGGCTCCCGGAGTGAGTTGGAGCACTTCACCTCTGCAGTATTTGATTTCTCTCCACTAAGCTCTGTTGCAAGGGGTGGAATTTCCCTTGCAGATCTTGCTCTGCTGGTCATTCCTCATGTTTCTTACGCTACCCACAATCACTGCAGGGCTAAGCGAGGGGGAAAGAGGTTGGCTGATTCCAACTGTGTAGTAAAGGCACAAAATGCTGGGAACGGAGAAGCAAGAAAACAGCTGCAAAAGCTGTTCATACTCAGCTACCCCCATGGCCAGCATTCCAGAGGAGCAGAGGTCTCTCCTGAGCTCAGTGTTGAAATCCTGAGGGAGAACGTATATATTGCGCTGAGCCCTTGATAAAGGCGTGGGACAGTGGTATCTCCACCACCTGCTAGCAGTCTGAAGTGGTAGCCTGACCTCAGCTTTCTTATCCTTCTTTAGGCTCTGTTGTTTGTGGCAGTCTACTGGCCGATATGCTCCTCCGCTTCCTGTGTTTTCCAGCAACCGTTTTGGGAAAGCGAGGCAGACACCCCCTCTTGAAACCTCTCCTCAGCAGTGTTCTTTTAAGGATAAACTTACAAGACACTTTAATTAACAGAGGCCTTTTGCTGTTCTTCGCTGTTGTGTGTGTCTTTTGTCAGAGTTAGGAAACAATGAGCAATTTTTTGAAATGAACGTGAGTTGATGTGCATACCATATCCTGCAGTTCAAGCTGGGCTCCGGCTTCCACTAACTTTTTCACCACCTCTAGATGTCCTTCAGAGCATGCCCTGTGCAATGCAGTGCGTTTGTACTGTCAATTAAAACAGTGCAAAGTCAGATATTAAATGTGGCACAAAGAGATCTCTTTAAATCTTGTCTCCCTGCCTACCTGGGGTGATGGCAAACACACATGCTTTATGCGGATTCATTTTCCAGAGCTAATGCTTTTGAGACCTGAAATCTGCTAAATTTTAATAGCATCCTAATAACAGAGAGCTGCCTGCCCTAGCATTTTAAAGGGCATGAGGAATATCTGCAGTATGACACTGAAATTTAAAATGGTGCCTGTTGAATTCCTCCATTCAACATACTATGCTGCATTTTGCAAATGCAGCCTGTGTGTTATGGAGAATGAGAGCAGGCAGCATCACTTTTTTGTAGTTCTGCAGAAAAAAAAATCCTTATCTGACCCTCTGCGGCACTGGAAGATCACCTGGTACAGGAGGCAGGGTCTTCCAGTCCCCAGGATATTTCTTTTAAATATAAAGATTCTTTAGCTGTAACGTTACTTTGAAGTGGTCCCTTTGACACAGGAAAATGTAGTATGTCCAACTCCTGATGTTTGCTTTCTCACCCCTCCCCCTTTTCTTCACCTCAAAAGTATGGAAGCCACAAAACCTAGTGGTAATAGTTATTTTTGCTCACTAATAATCTCTCTTCTGTAGCAGGCTTTGAAGTAAGAAGAGATATGGTACCTCATCACAGACGTCTGGATCCCCTTTGTCTGACAAATATTTTTCAATTACTGGCAACTTGTTCTCCAGTGCAGCAGTAAAGAACGTGGGTATATCCACTGGTCCTGTCTGGTGGAGAGACATACACAGCACGTAAACGCGTGTGGCAGCTCTGCAATAGTGCAAAACCCCATCGGTCCTTTCACAGAAGAAAACACTTCGTAATAGGACTTACAATAACTTCTGGTTCAGGTTCCTTTAAAATAGGTGCTTTCTCTTTCTTGCATTTTTTCTTCTTCTTCAGCTGAATAATTTTTTCAAGATCCTCCAAGTTTTCAAGTTTTGACCTCTCCTGTAATTTTTTCTTCTTGAGCTGAAACAGAGCAGGGAAGGCAGCAAGCTGAGCTGCAGCGTAAACCTGTCTGCCTTTCAGAGGGGTAGGACAGGGTGCGCTGTTCTTCAGCGGAGTTCGGCTAGGTTAAGACTGCATGAGCTTTGAACTAAGTTGCCTTTTTTTTTTTTTTTTAAACAACTAGGGCTAATTAACCATTATAATACATTACTAGGGGTGTGAGAAAATCTACATCATCATACGCCCTTGGCCCCCTTTCTAAATGCTGTCTCTCTCCTCAGCCATATGTTGGGGGATAGCATAGCTTTTCTGCGTTATGCTAGGAGTTGGAGCAGCCCCACAGTCCCTTCTGGCTCAACAATTTAAGAAATCTCATGGTTAACTTATAAGGGCTGGAAAGCCCCTGCAGTTTTTACTGACTTCTACCCAGCATCTACTTTTAGGATGTAGGCTGCTTGATTTATTTTAACTTAATCCTCTTTGATGAAAAATATACCATTAAGTGAATTGCAAGGTTTATACTGATTTTAGCATTTCATTCAGGAAATGTTACATTTTGGTAAGCTACAAAGGTTGTCTCCGGTATCCTTGAGAAGGCAGTTCAGTACACGTTTAAGACTTCTTCAAGCCTACTTGAAAAAAGGATCACTGCATGAGGTCAGTATGGGGCTCTGCTAACACCAGGCACAAATGTGTTGCCTGAATTAAGGGCCAGGATCTCAAATACTATGAGGGTCCTTGTGTCCATGACTTCAGAAGGGTGACTCGCAGAAGGGTAACTCAGGGCGAAGACAAGTGACAAATTCTGCCCCGTGGTATCTTTAAGGGTAAATACACTGGTGAAGCCCTGCCATATAATAGATTTCTTTCAACTGAATTCTTATTCAAGTAATTTTGACCTCTCCTTTTTTACTGTTCACTGCATTAAGATCATTGAGTTAGTGGAAAATATTCTGTTGGCTTGGATGGGCTTTCGATCAACGGGAAATTCCAAGAACTGTTAGGACAAGGTGGTTGTTTTGGATAGAGGAACTGTAGCAAGTAATGACCTCCAGGTGGAAGGTGAAGGCCAGTAGTTGTATTTATTTCACATAATATTTTGGAAGCTCACTTTTTCATCCTTCTCTTTCAGACCAAAGCCTTATTCTCCCTGCTAGTTCAACTTCTTCATTCCCGTATTGCTCTAAGTTCTGAGGCCAAGAATGTAAAATGTTACAGCTACTGTATTTTGGGAAAAAAGAATCAGTTTGGGGGGGTATGGGAGGAATTGTCATGCTACAGAAATACAAAATGGAACTTTTCTGTAGATCGATATCACTTTCATTTGTATTTATTTATTTTTCCAAATGTGCTAGTAAGCACACTGCAGAGTTTTCATAAAAAGAATATTTGTATGGTAGGTAGGGCTTCTGGCTTCAGAAGTGCACTCTCACATCCTTGGTGGAAAGCAAAGCAGTGCCAATTTGTGAAAGCTTTCTTGCTTTAGTTATATTTGGTGGCAGTCATTAGGTGTGCCCAGCTGAAGGTATCTTAGTTTATGTTTGTTCCCCCTTACTGAGAGTTAGCAAAGGGGACTGGGCAGGAGAGAGCCCACAGGGTTTGGGGCAGACTTTACTGGGGAGTTGTGGCTACTGCCTGGAGCCATCGCCTATGAGAGCCAGCAGGTCCAGCTCTGCCTTCGATGGGCGTCAGACCAAGTACTCGTTTGGTAGCAATCTCCCAAGGGTTTGTTTAGCTAGCTCGCAAGGCATGTATTTCTTAATTAGAAAGAGACAAGACTCCGAGGGCACTGAGCAAGGTGTGTACAGGATGTCAAAAATTGAGCACAAACCTTAAGAGCTTACCTCTGCCTCTAGCTTTTTCTCTTTCTGATAGGCCAGATCTCCTCGGGTCAGTACATGTTCAGAGACTGTCTTTAGATCCTCCTGCTTCTCTAACCTTACAGCAGCTTCATACTCTCCATTTTTGAAGTCCTCGGGGAGGAAACTGCCAGTCTCTTTATCATCAGTTCTCTTCCCAGTTACCTGCAAAAGCAAATGCAATATAATATAAGCAGCAGTTTCATGACTGAAGCAGCCAGCTCCTGGGAACATGGATTACCTAGGAGCTAACTGCATGTCATTTTTTAAAGTGTCCTGCTCTAGGAGTGTGTGATAGACAGAGTGCAGACCTCACTCAGCCTGTGCCTGGGTTAACTGTGCATGTGAGCAGCTAGAGCAATCTCACTTGCAGGGAGCTCTTCCACCTCCACAGAGCCACCCTTCCCCCCCCCCGTTGGCCTCTCAAGGGTTTGGTCAAGATCTGTGGAGGTAAAAGGCGCTGGTGGGAAGAGCCACCCTGAGCAGTGCCCCGTGAGCAAGCAGAGTGAGAGGAGAGGCCGTCTCCCTTGGGACCTTACACTTAGAGTGAAACACACAGTGCAATTAAATAAGGTTGCTGAGTAATTTCAAGGCTGATCTTACCCATTGCTGTCAATACCAAAGTCCCCATTTATAGCACTTAGCAAGATAGCATAAGGTGGTTCCTGTGAACAAGCTGTGGGATGCTTGATTGTTTTTGCTGACAGTTTTGAATAGTTTTTGGAGATATGCTTGATGAAGTGTGTCCAAAGAGATCACATGTTAAACTTAGTGGAGGGTGTGGTATATTTTGAGAGTAGCTCAGTAAATTCATCTGATATGGACTGGCTTTTCATTCAATCACCCTTGTAAAATTATGTTTGTCACAGAGTTTAACACTAGAGAAATTGGCAGGGCCTTGCCAAAAGAGTTTAACGCTAGAAGAAAAGGCAGAGCCTTGCTCAAGAATTTAAGACAGCATTAACTAGTTAGGCTTTATGGTAGTTTCATCTTAATTTACCCATCTGGAAGGAAAAGGAGTTTCCTTATAATATTCCAATGTTGTAGTGGATTGTCCCTCTTTATTGGTCAAATCAAGAATAATTTGTCTGAACTCTGCAATGGAGTCCCTTTGGTCCCATTACTTGTGGTTTGGTTTAGATGTTATTTTTCAAAGGCTTTTTACACCGAGAAAAGTAGCAAGTGCAAGAGCTGTTAGTAATGCTTAATGTTGGATTAAAAAAGAAAAGGTTTGGTTTCCCTGTATTGAGACCTTCTCCTAATCCCTTACTGGACTGGAATTATCTGAGTGATCATAAACATAATAGCTTTTAAAAAAGTCAAAATCAAGGTCAAAAGAAAATACACCGCTAATTTTTGATCAGTCTGTTCATCCTGGTGAAATATCTGGTGATGCGAAACCCATGCAGCTGTGTAGTGGTATCAGTGGTGAGTTCCCTTCCCAAGACAAGGTTAAAGTGAGAATATGTTAGGATAACATACACAATTTTTATACCTAAAGCACAGCATTAATGGTCACCCTCTGAATCACCTCAACAATCCACAAAGGTTGTCTCTTTCTGACTGGTACAACAGTTCAGGAGGAAAAATAACTATGAATAAATGAAAGAAGGTTGTACCTACCAGCTCTTCAACTTGCATCATCATCATATCTGCCAGTGGTTGAGGTTGTACTCCTGCGTGGATGAAGCTCCCAAGGGCTCAAGTAAGCTCTGCAGGGGCCACCACCCTGGCTTTGCTTATATATCTTTGGGAGAACTTTGCGTGAATGAGATAATCTTCCAACCTGGGAATCCAAGTATGCCGCTGGGGTTTGCCAGCTAGGAGGTAGGTTCACACTCATTCCAGACATGTTAACTAGCCAGCTCTGGTGCCCTGAGGAGGGGGGGGGGACCTCAACCGGGGGGGACGGTCCAGTCTCTCTGTCTCACTGCCCCGCATGTGTGAATCGGAACGAAATGTGAGATCATCGTTCCTTCGGCAGTGACTGAACGGCTCAGCAATGCTAGTCATGCTGTGTCCCCGGTGCCCACTAGGACAGCTGTCTGTTGATACAGCGTTACGACGGGTTTTCTTTTTCTTTTCTTTTCTTTTTTTTTTTTCAAACCGACTTTCAGCTGACTGGAATCCACTGGAAAGGGTAAGTTGCTTATGTGCGATACTTGTAGCAATGTTTTCCTGATAAGTGGATGAGGACCCCTTAAGTTTTGGGAAGCCATTCTTTTCATTGCTGTTTATTCTTGGATGGTAAACAGTGTTAGGGGAAAGGATTTTTCTCATCATGATGGCACTCTCCTATATTTGTTGGAAGGAATTCTCTGAAGGGATTACTGAGCCAGAATGATGTCTCTGGTGCTAAAAGGGCCTATGACATGATAAGTTACAATCAGTGAAAGGTCTCAAAACAGTAAGCTTTGCATTTTTCTGGGACGTTGTCAGTAATTATAAGCAGAATAATAAATTAAGCCTATTATGCCAAAAAAGTAAAAGTTGGATTGTTTTCTCAGGTAATATTTTCCTTTTGAATGTGAGAGAATAGGGGCACAAATGTGACCTCTTCACTTTTGGTGATGAGACTGGGTAGAGGCAGATACATAGAAATGTTGGGTTAGTTTTGAGCGAAAAGAGATTTTTGAGTCCTTTGGAAGAAATTAGAGGGGCAAGATTTTCTTGTGCCACAAAACAGAATAGCTTGAGAGCAGGCTGATGAACACCAGCAAAAGGCAATTTTATAAAAGGAAGATCCACTAATCTGTGCATTTAGAGAGTGTGGATAAATGCCAAGAAAATCAGTTCTGTCATTATCCCGTGCTTAGCACTTCTATGTGGTGAGCATAGGCCTTGCTTTAGGTGTTCAAGTCACTTGGTTGAAATCAGTGCAACTACTCAGGTGCTTAAAGTACAATATGCACTTAAGTGCTTCACCAAATCGAGTCCTAAATATATTGGGTGTTGTTTATATCATTAGCATCATTAACAGGCTGTGTTTCTGATACTGACCTTTCAAGGTGTCTCTACTCTTCTGATCTCCCAGTAATTTGAGTACATCCAAACTTGTCTTCTAGTCCCCATCGTACCTATGACCTCCCTTTCCCTGAAATGGAGCTGGACATCAGGTGGTTCCTTTACTACTCAGAATATATATGACATTACAGAATGAGCCCCAGAACTAAAATAGAGTATGTGGCAGCAAGAGAACCTTTCAGAACATTTTTTTCCAAACCTAAGTACAGCCAGGATATCACTCCCCTGCAGTGGTATGTCCTGAATCACACTTTAGGATTTTTTTTCGCAGCAGTTTTGTACCCCTGCTGTATGTTGCTGTGGTAAAAGGCCGCTCTGTTTGGCTTTTTCATGTTTGCAAATGTGCTGTAACAGGTGATTTCAGCCTGTTTCATTCTATGGCTCTTCTCTTATCTGGGAAATTGTCTTGACATCCACAGTCGTAATAGAAAGGCTGCAAAGACCTCTTCTCATTTCAGGGAAACAGGTTACAGCAGAGAGCTGACGTGGGAAGGGAGGTGTAGGGCTGGTTAGCAGTTTGCCTGAAGAGCAAAAACTGTTTAAGAAGCTGTGAACTACCTCAGGCCTCGTTATATTTGAACCTTACTTTTCCTTTTTTATGCTTTCCATTTTTTTTCTTTTTCCACAGCCAGACAGATAAAATGGACTCAGCAAAACATAGACTAGAAGGTTTAAGTGGAGAGAGCTTTCTGTGCAAGTGCTTCATAAATCAAACTTAGACTAGCTTTACAGTAGACCTCAGCGCTCCGAGGGGAAACACAAGCCCACTTTTGTGGTACAGGTTCCTCACAGCGCTACCAAAGAAAACAGCCACATTCAATAACTTTCTTTAAAGCATAAAGAGGCTAAAGAGAATAACAAGGAATAAAAAAGAATCTTCCTTGATAATGCTGAGTACAGCAAAGGGTGGCACACAGAAACCTCCTTTAACCAAGGGCTGGAGTCTAAATTAACCTAGTGGGTAAGTGCTTTTGAGCTAAATGTCATGTAAAGCAAGGCAACCCTACTGAAATCAGTAGAAGTATACACATTCGTATCAGCTAAGACTCTAATTCAGATGCTTACCGCTACTGCTTAATATTGGAGGCAGAAGGCTGGCAACCTTATGCTGGACTGTAACCGCTTAATCACCTTTCAACAAGTGATTTCTCATATCTCTGTTAAGTTAGTAATAGGAGATGGTCAGTGGGAGATGTGTAACGGGAATCTGAAGAACAGTGGCCAGCAGGGCAGAGCAAAGATCTGCAAGAGGCAAGGCAACCGGGTATTGTCACAGAAAGACTTCACAGACAGAAACAGGAGCCCAGCAGGCTCAGCATGAGAGAGGGAAAACTATAGGGCACACCCTGTTCCCTGCTGTCAGAGAAGTTGTTTGAATAGTGCAAAGAATTTTTTAAAATTAATTTTAAAAGAGGTTAATGGTAGAGTGAAAGCATTAGGTTTGGTACAAGTGATATTGCCACCTCTTGGGAAGTGTATTACCAGCATATTTTCAGTGCTGTCATTGCCTTACTTGGCTATCTTACGTTTTCCAGAACACTGCCCTTGGCTCTGTCCTTGCCTTGGAAGATGTTGCCCTTTGCAATGCCTTTGTGCCTGGCTGTCTCTGTCCATCTCCTGCTGCTAAATAAGTAAAGGTGTGAAAAAATCAGTTGCTGAGAAGTGATTATGCACTTAAGAGGGTATTAATCCAGCAAACTATGTTCCATGAGTGTGCAGTCAGGGCTAATTGCATAACTAAGGTACACCTGAGAAACAGTAACCCAGAGCTTATTTCCTTCTGGATTTGGGATCTGTCAGTGTTTAATGGCTTGTTTATTTTTTTATATGTATGAGCATCCAGCGTATCTAACGTATATGTGCACCCAACAGAGCAGTAAATCATAGTACATTGCAGGAACTATATTTTTTTTCTTCTTCTTTTTTAACTCTTTCTTTTCCCCTAAAAGGCAGGAAGCATTTTTATTTGCCTAACAGATAAACTATTTGATATTTATTGTCACAAAGCAGTTTTGGTAGGAGCTAAATATAATATGCAAATTATGTCACTCATGCCCTAGCTTGTTCAACACATTGATATATATGTCTGTCTGTTTTTTTCTAAAGTGAACAGGGAATTATTACATTATCTGCTTAAAACAGCCCAGAGACTTCTCAGCAATATTTTTGTGTATAAAGCTGCTACAGAGAAATACGTTGTCCCCTTACAAGGGGAGGGGAAAAAAAAAACCTGCTTCACTTAAGAATGTAAAGTTAGTGTTAACTGCAAAATTAGAATATAAGAAATTATTAAACTAACAGAAGGATGTGGCTATAGATTCCA